GATACTGTACATGAAACCAGCGAACTATAAATTCAAAGCACCCGTACGTTGCATTATGCTAGAATTAATTGAACGTACAGGATGTTTGGCAAGTAATCCAACATCATGGGATGTTCGAGGGACGACTTATAGCCTACTCTTTCTCCATTTTTTCCTAAAAGTCAAAAAAATTCGATTTGAAAACAATAAAAAACAAAAAACAAAAGCGAAAGAAGCAGCAACACAGGGTTTCTAAGAGGACAATGAACTTGAAGTGCTATCAATCGACCAAGCTCTCAGTGAATGAGCCTGATGTTCGCTGAGATAATTATTAGCTGGGTGTTCTTTTTAGTATGAAATACGCGTTTAAAGTTAGATGTAACTTGTGGAGAAAACATATTTGAGGAAACACTTTCCGAAAGCTTTGAATTTTGGTTCAATCTCAAAAACCTAATTGCATTATTTTTTTGTGTCTTGTACAAGCTCGACACACTCATGAACACAGTTGTATTTTGACGATGTTATCTGATGTTCGTATGCCAGATCATCCAAGCGACTTTAAACTGATCCTCGCCAAAGGGCTCATCTATCTGGCTTTGCCTAATTCATGCCTTGTGTCTCGCAATTCTGTTAAATCGTCGATGTGATCATATCATTCGACACTGAAACTACATCCCTGGGATCAGATACATCAAGAAGTCAAGCACTTGACATATTTGATTTCTTACAAATAAGAAACGTCATATTAAATGCTACATGCTTAAACAAATGTATCTCATACCTGCTTCTTTTTCAGCTGACAAATACGCTGGATTAAGAGAGCGAAATGCTATCCTTGCTAAGAAGCAAGGCGGATTGCGTTCCCTCCAGCTTTTTTTTGTTGTAAACGCTGAGACTTCCGACAGACTGCTCGTCGTCATTGCTTGTTGTTCCGATGTTGTTAAGGGGTGAATGTTTTGCAGGAAGTAGTTGCCTACCCTTTTTGTAAATGTCGACACCTTTTGGGATCTGCTTGCAATGTGTCGTTGCGGGCATTAGGTGATGAGCCTTGTCTAATTTTGTAGAATCTTGCACCAACAAACGTACTAAAGCTTTACGTAAGGCTATGTTTTGGGTGCTTCGTTTTATGAATTACATTCCTCTTATTAATACAGGAACTGCATGTATTCCCCCATGAAATTGCAAATGTAATTTACGAGTTTCGACCGTTCCGACAACTTGTTCAATGATCAAAACCCGACAAAGGCTCCCAAAAAGATCTATACCCAATATATTCAGGCGATCAAATCTCCCACGCATGCTTAACAAAGGTGTTACCGGTCTTCGGCTTAAATTCACATTGTGGCAAGCGGATCTGACTAGCTGACTGCAAAGAAGCGGATTTTCCGATGCGAAAGGGAGTAAGCATATGGGATGTTTCATAATGGGAATGAGCGAGGCAGTCCAACCCTGGGTACAACTACACCAACTTTTCCTTTCTTTTGTTGTTCGAAGAGCCGTCGCGTTGACTGGCTCAACCGTACCCGTACTGTACACCGAATCTATTTCTTCGCGTATTTCCTTCTCGGTTTTCCGCTTCTAGTGCTTATTGCCGTCGTGCTTACTCGGCCGAACTGTGCGGCTTCTTGGCCTTATGTCTCATCATAAGGAAGTCATTCATGTTCCCAAAGAGCCCTCGCGTTCCCAGGCCGACTCTTGGGAACTACACTATGCTTTGGCTCCCTGTCCGTCTCCCTGGCAGGGAAGCACGCACCCCGACATATGCAGACACCCTCATATGTACTTGCCCGGGCCTTTTTAGAAGCATTCAGATATCGATGTCGGAATAACGTAACGGTATAATGTGAAATGGTAGTGACATGATTATACTAACTGTGAGATAATGCTTACTTGAGTACAATCGCCTCGGGATGGATTTACATATGATTTTATATGTATTAGGTAGAATAGATACATAAAGACCTTGGACAGTTCATAACACTTTGTGGGCTCACAGACAGTGCTAAGTATACCTATACAAGGTTTTTTGGGTTAGCTCGTACACTAATTCACTAAGTCATGCATAGTTGTGCTTGACAAGCCAAGAAAAATTGAAGCATGAATGAAAATTGGTATTAATCTTTAATTGTTTAGCTATTGTGATGCGTATAAGAAATGCAATATGTTCCTTGATTTGTTTCTTTATTCCTTGCCCTTTTACCATGGGATGAAGGAGCACTATGTTGCCTGCTTTAAAGTAAAGAAGTAACTAAGAACTCTTCCCCTTGGGCTATACGCTACAGTTACCGGGATCTAATAAAAGTCCTTTTGCTGCATAGTCGACTTAGCCTTAACAATAAACTGCTTTAAAAACGTCACGCAATTTCAAATTTTAAGTTGAACATGCTGATAAAATCATATCTTATACAGCAGATTGATGCTCTTTCTTATCGCTAAATAGAAACGCCTCTTTTTTCTCTGATTGTGCGGTTACCGATAGTTAAATATTATATTGAAACCTCCCAGCTCGATATACAAGGCTATTGTTAATTTTTTACTCTTTTTTTTGGACTATAAAAATGAATACGTGAATGACAACGAAGAGCTTTTTGGACGCCTGCTTCATTTTATGTCTTATTCTCAGTACTAAAAATTGCGGAAGCAAACCAAAATATTCGTTCATACTATGCGGAAGAGAGATCTACGGGGTTTAGCCTAAAATTGTCCTTTTCAAGTGGCTCAAGACCTTGTCAAACACGGAAAGACGAATTGTGTCCCTTAGGTTAAAAACACCATTTTTTTGCTTAGAAGGTCGCACACATACAATATCTTCAAGAGTAACAAAAACATTGCAACACTGTTGGTCGTCTGAAAAGTTAAAAGGAAGTGAACGTTGCACAAATAGTATTAAATAAAAATAGTTCTGCAAAACGAAATTATTACATACACTATAAAAATTACGACGATACAGCAGAATTTATAAATAAAATAGACGAACGTAATGCGCCTAGTCACTACCTACAATCTTTCTCAAGAGATTTCGGATAATTTAATTCTACATCAATTAGTCATAGTTTACGCTACTATTCTAAGGGCACACAACGATTTTCTTCACACAATTGCTTATATCAATAAATATTCACAACTATATATAAATAAATATTCATATGCGGGATCGCTAATACCATTCAATGCGTTCAGGATTTTTCATCTCTGTGATACAGATCGACATAATAAGAATGTAAAAAGAAGATTACTCATTAACGGCACATTTTTATTGTTTTTATAGAACTACCACGCTTTGCCGATCGAAAAAGATGATGACCTAATCTATTTCATCTCTTGGTGAGATTATCTACTGACTCTAAGAACCACACTCAACACGGTGTTAATAAGGAGATCAGCGATTTTTTGAAGTCGTATCTGTTACATACCGCCGCCGCTTTGTAACGACGTTGATGGCAACGTTAAAAACATTCGTTACGCGCATGTATATTGTAATCGATGACATTCGCAGTACGTGGCAGCAGGTGTTGCTAACTGCGTCGTATTAATTATACATATGCAGTGTAGGTTCTAAAGGCTTCTTTAATCGGTTTGAGTATTAGAAATCCCGTCGCCCAACTGGTTAGTGCTTGCAGAGCAATATGTAAGATATCCAATGTGTAATTTATTATGTGTCACACTACCTGGTTCGCGTGCAAGTACGCCACGTTCGAAAAAATCACTTTAAACGACGTGTACACCCATAGGTTCTCATCATTAGCTATTCTATCGACGCTGTGAACATTATCTGTTCCTAATATGCGTGTAATGAAAGTAACTGAAATTTTTATGAACCTGCTTGGTTGCTGGCTTTAAAGCTCGGTATGGACATGCCCTAATGGACGGTATAGTATGTTTTTACCACTGTTTGCTTGAGCATCGTCTGCTGCTCTTGTGTATAGCGACAATCGCCTCTCTTTCCTCGTACTTATACAGAATGTAGTAACAATGATAGCACGGTGGCGCCATATGCGCGTTAGATTTTCTGTAGGCGCGACTTGCTTTGACATAGATCCGTATCTTCCTCTCTTTCTACGCAAAATATTCAGATAACTTTTGATGCCTTTCGAAAACTGTGTACACAATAAAGACTGCATACTGATAGGTCAGTTTGCCGATCACAGGAGACAGCAAGACCGATCACGCATAAACAGCAACAGAACACTACGTCAACGAAAAGCGCGCGCAAAAGTGGATGCGCATTTACAAATATTTTCGAAAATAGCGCGCGAAATCGACCGCGTTACCTAACCAAGATCTTGAACAATTGCGTCTCAGTTTAGAATAGATTTCAGGTATTTACTCAAGATCAATATGTTAATCAAGATAAAGGATGTTTTCGGTTTCTGGTTTATAGTGTGCCGGTGGGGCGGAACGTCGGCGTCCCGTTTGAGTTTAACGGTGGTCGCCGCTAATATCAGCGAATAAGCAAACGACTTCTCATAGGATCCCAATGCTAGCGAGCGTGGAGCGCTGGAACAACGTTTGGTGGGGCGTATCTATGTATGCATGTATGTAGCATCACTGAATAGTTCGGTTGATCATGATTGACCCTATAGTTTCGCTGTAAATACATTGCCATTGTCCAGATGACTTCTCTCAACTAATTGCGACCCAAGCTAATATGTAGTAGTTCCCGTAGTAGCGATGGACTGCTTTTTTAAACAGTACACAACATGTTGCTTTGTGGCATATGGGATACAGCTTAAATCCTTTAACAGGAACTCGTTATGCAAAAGGGGTATTAATAGAATTAAATACAAGGTATATATACTAATTTAATATATTGAATTCAGCTTCATTGTATCGATGTTAACACAGATGGCAATCTGAGCCTTTACTGACCCTATGGGATGGGCGCATGCACCCCTATCAAAACGAGAAATCTTCGCTGAAAAACGATCGTATACCTTTGTTTCTTTGGTAAAAAACAAACATATAGACGTCCGTTTATCAGTCCATTTTATTCCCGTATGTGATTTAAAACATGCATAAAGCGTACCAAATTGACCCATTTTAAGTTACAAGCGTTGCAACGTCCAATGCGATGAGAAAAGTTCTAGTAGCCCTCAAATCCAGCTTTTCAAAATCGGGACGCAATAATGTGGATTCTCGGTAAAAAAAAAGAAAGCAAACCTATGTACCTGTTAGTATCTCAAATCTTATTTTAGCACAATTGAAGTCCTGTTTGTTGATGCTATAATTGTTCTTCACATCCAACACCTTCCTGAAGAATAAACGGAGAAAATTTACCGAGATGTTGACATGTCGAGGCAATGAGCCTCTGTTTACCCTTTCCATTGGCCGGCTGTTCGCTTTTTTATCGTTCGAAGTAATGCTAAATTGTACGGTGGCGTTCTAGTATCATAGCCCGCTCGATATTCGTCATTGAGCTTCAGACATCGCGGTGTTGATGATCACGATGATCCTACACCATCAAACCATTACTTTTCGTGCGCTTATGTCGTTCTTCCGAAACGTTTCGCCCGTCCGTTATGCTTGATCGCCTCTCTCACAGAGTTATCCACTCGCCTTACGTAGGTGAATGACTTGCAGTGCACCCTGCTGCATTGTCTTTCTGATGTTCGATGTCGCGCCTGCATCATTCTTTATAAAGCACAACTTAGCTCGGCTCTATGGAGCCTGTTACTCTAAAGAAAAGGTATATCGAGGAGGTGGGCCTATGATAGCGACGGGGCGCACGGGCATGGCCTGCGGATGTTTGCATGAATGTCCTGTCGTTGTCTTTCTTGACGCTCGCGGGAACCCAGGTCACGATAAAGGTCCATGATGATAAGAATACCGTTCCTCCTCATTGTTGCCGTCGTGGATCCGCCCTAGTATCTTGAAAGCCCGATACATGGCTAGCCCCCAGCTGATTTTCGGGCGATGAAGCCCAAGAGTAGAAGCGACTCGGGCGCTACAGTGACGAGTTCTGCTGGTGGGGTGAAGGCTATGGACAGAGACGCCGAAAGAAAGAAAAAATGGAGGAAAAGGAGGTGAGTGCAGGCTCTTGGAGTATGCTTTGTGGCACCCCTACTGCCGGCGGCCAACATTAACCTGACGAATATCATAGGATCCCGTCAAACACAAAGTTCTGTCTATGCTCAGCACTAACAATAGGATAACAAGGGTCTTAGAAAGAACGACTTTACGCTAGTGTGTCGATACAGCAGCAGTCAAGATACGTTCATAAGAAGATTATTTCGGTACGTTTATTGCGCGAAGCATGCCAAGCTGTTCTGACTAGCATAGCCCCAGATTAATTCCCTCTGCCCGGCCTATACTGCACTCCACTATGGTTCAAAATCTACCCCGAACGTAGAAAGGGCTTTGTGAGAAGATTGGGATATACTAAACTTACTTGTATACGGCGACGACAATCTCAACTGGTCGACTGCCACTTTATACTACGCTATAGGATAGAGGGCTGTCCAGCGCCCGGATAGCGCTGGGATAGTTCCGAAGGCTGTGTTTGAGGGGGCGAGCGGACGCCTGCCTTGCTGGCTTAAAAATAAACCCCAACAGAACGATGCTTTGCCGACACTGGCACTGGGTCGGCGGTCCCGGCTAAGCGGCTTCTCAATGTGAGTAGGACCACCGTTAGTCCGACTGTGCTAACATAGTGAAACGCAGGACCCAACAGCCGCCACCCCTGCTACTCAATACGGTGGGGCTCAGCCCCCGTAGTTTGGCGGCCGTTTTGTTGAAAGTGGATGATGGAACAGGATCTAGACGAGTGGCTTGCTAGGTTCAGAAGGAGGGGGGCGAAAAAGTCCTAAAGTTGATGAGTTTTCAGTTTATTAGCCGTAAAGCAAGAAAATGCCGAAGTCCATAAGTGGCTGCCTGAGTAACTGGTAGAGTGTCGAAGCGGCGAAGAGAGAAAACAGAGATCGAATGAAAGAGGGGAGAAAGTGAGAAGAAAAGGAAAGGCCACTATAGCAACCCCTGTGAGCTCGCCTATGTGATCTAACGAGGCACTAGCAACGCAAAGGCATATGATGACAACCAGACTTTCGACGGCCGAAGCTGAGCGAGTACTGACGGCGATGTGATGCGAACAAGTCACGCAACTATATAAGGAATGATGCGAGATCAAGCAATTTAACCTATGCATACTAGTATAATTTCGACACAGATAACTTGAAATAAACGTAATAAGTTTTTTGTGTTCGGCTATAGACGTTTCGAGGGATACAATGAGATCTCTTGGTGAAAAGTTTTTACTGCTTTTCTATCTTGGAACACATCAAATTATAAACTTTCATTTCGTAGGGTATAACGTCATGTAGGTTCCTGGATTTGTTTTAAATTACAATAACCACACTTGTAGCAAAAGTCGATTTCTTGGGGGTATTAAACCTTGATATAAATTTTTTGCAATCCCCTGTTCGTGTTACGTAAATTATATAGGGAATATAATTGCAAGATGTTATTACTGATAGAAGTAACACAGTATTATATATAAAGATAAACCAAATTTTTCTACGGGATTCATACTTGATACGAGTAGTTAGGCAACGCTCGTGCTATAATAGCAAGAATGAGTTTTTGAGCAAGAACGAGGTGTACATTTCTCACAGGTACCTTAATGTAATGTGCATTGTATTTTTCAGCACAATAATAATTATAAGATAGATATGCGATTAAATGCTCTATGAGGTTTAAAAACACAGCTTTTAAAATCACCCAAAAAAAACGAGTTCTTGTTATCGAGTCAATTTTGCAGCATTTCTGAGCAAAGCCTCGCAAGAATACCTGAATACCTTTAAAATATCACTTAAGTTGGACAACTTGTCTAGTCAACGCTCACATAATTAGTATGCGATAAATAATCGTGTATGGGCGCAGTGATCGACACATCGTTGAAGTCCTAGCACACGATACTAAATTCACCTTAACTTTGCTACCCAAGACAATGATCGCTACGGTGCGTTCGGCTTTCTCGAACCATTTTTACCTCTGTTGGGTCGTCCTGCGAACTTTTCCCGCTTGCTACCTCGCTTCTGTTTAATCCCGCACCGCCGTACCATCTCTAACATTCAATTCTACGAAGGGAGATAGACAAAATCTCGCCTTTGCAGAGATCTATCCTTGAAATTGTAGTCATTCTTTAAACAATTCATCATGCCAATGCGTATTCGCTTTATCTCGCTCAAGGGTTCTCCTAGGTAACGGCTTTTATAAAATCGTTGTCTATATAAGTTTACGTCCGTGAATGCTCCCTGCCAAAATCGCGACAGATGTCTCTAATCCTGTAATAATGATAACGCCAATAAATCCGAAATAGATGATCTCTTTTGCCATTTTACTATGGGTAGCAGTTGTTACCTGGATTGACTTGAATGACGTTAAGCTAGGATTTAGGTGATAATATTCAAAAATAATTTGTCAGAAATATGTCGGCAGAAAAGGATAATAGTGACACTGAGAACTGGGCAGGCGGTCAGCATTAAACATGTACGAAGTCGTCACCCCAGATTAACGCCGTCCAAGGTATTACAAAACGTAGTCCAGGTAATGGATGTTTGTGTGAGTGTTTGCTTTTTATCAATCCCCTACGACCTGCAGAAAGGGAGCCCCCTTTGGCTTTAGCTATATTTATATGCATCGAGCCGATCTAGATTTGTTGCACAGACTTAATGATATGCTATTCAAATATCCACAAATAGGCGGTGACACTCTGCGAAAACGTGACCAGTGTCAACAAGGCTGAGACTTCGTTAAGAATGCAATCAGGATTTTCATTTCATCAATGTGAATCCTTTTCGTCCGAATTATTTTATAGTTGAACTTTTCTAGCTGAAGGGAAAAAGAACATCAATATTCTATAGCTAGTAATGTAGTCTTTTCAAGGACTAGAGGAATTCTTTCATTGTTGATTAAGCCGAAATCTTGCATCTATATGAACTTTTTCGTCGCTTACGTCGTACAATGTAACGTAAAATAAGCTGGGTCAAGTAGAATGATGCCGAGTACCGTACATAAGTGCTACTCAATGAGCGCCACATTAGCCCTAATAAATCTAATCTTTCTTAGTTATCAGTCGGGGTGAAGCCTGTTTCTACCTGAAAGTTCGCAATGTACGTGCGGAGCGGAACCATTGTTTATAACAATCTTCTCGCGCATCATGTAATGCGCTATTTCGTATTTCATACAACATCAATTTTTCTATTAGCATCTCGTTTCACATCAGCGTTTTCCATCATCCTGCTCTGTTGTTGGCTATTCAAACCCAGTGTCATCGATTTCAGTCCGGCACACTATTACAGGGAACTAATCACACACCCGTATCATTTGCCAGCGAACTCGAACGCCGCCTTACCTAAAGTGCATGGGCTAGTTAGAGCCTGCCAAGTAGGACAAACGCTAAAGATTACATCATAGATTAGTATCGGATCCTAAATTTACGAAGTTGTACTGTTGCCCAAGGCGTACATATGTAATGGTTAACTTGTATTCTATTTCATTTCGTTTATTGCTAGCTGGCCTTTTCTATCGACCGCAAGCAAATCATATTCGATCCTCGATGGATGACATGGCAAGTGGTAATTGAAGATTTGTTACCGTCTAATAAAACAACGAACAGCGTATACGGCTAGTCGTGGGATATCTTCGAAAATTATTTTTGCCATCATCTAGCTACAGGAGCGATAGCCTGCTAAACCAAAACACAGAATTTATACACACATTAATGTCACATAGCCTAATACTTATCGTACCTTGGCAGGTTGTTGGCCATTAGCAGATTTGTTGAGCAACGCATTGCGAAGAAAGACACGAGCTTGGTAAGGGCCGAGATGTGCGGTGGATGGGGTTCCGAATTGCGGAACCTTCCAACCGAGATAAACGCCGAATGGAATCGGCCCCCGGAGTTACGAGATCCTCTCGTCACTCGTCCCTTCACGTCGGAACTAACAGATCGTCAAATTTTTACTTCTCAAGTAAAACTCTGCACGCCGACAGTAAATATATGCACAGTTGTCCATGAGCGATTCATGGACAATTAGACAACACGCCAACGTCCGTCACCGTTTGTCTACGAAGAACTCAATGTAGCGCAATTAACATTAGGAACTCACCGCTTTCAGGAGACTTATTAATAATAAGATTAAATAAAAATGATGCAACACATGGAGTTGCGAAGTACTAGTCAGAAACCTAAGAACAATGGCAGTAGAATACGTATATATAGTTTTTTTTTTTCACATAGACACTGTCAAAAGCCTAATCGCCAAGATCTTTCCCGTAAATATTATTATTACCATTATAATGTCGGGTTAAAATTATTTTTGATCATTACACCAAGAGACTAAACTCTTTACTCCATTCCATCCTTGTACTACCCCAGCCTGTAAGTTCGACTCTATACAGAGACACCACCGTTAAGGGGTATGGGATAAACTCTGACCGAGTTCGGCCAGTCATGGGGGCTCGCGCGAATGAAGTCATACGCGCGTCGAGAAGCGCAGAAAGAATTCAGCGAAGGTGCTTATGAACCACTTCCGGTGCTATTTCCTGACTACGACATCATCATCGCCTTCTTCCTCGTCACACTGACATGGCGCTGACTGCCGTCGCTGTCGTTATTATTGTAGTAGAGCGGGCAGATTTAAACGCTTCAGTGGACTTCGTGCAATGACACCGTGCCTAGAGCACTCAGCGCTTGTCTCATTGGCATGACGATGTAATCGGTGTTCCCATTTGGGACCGTCGAGGCAATCGAGCGGACTTTTTTCTTGAATGTTTGATCGATACTTTCTTGCTGCTACGTAATGTTGAATATCGGTGCCTTCTAAAGACGGTGTCGGCCATATCTATGACAGACAAAAAGGGGACGGGACAGCATTTACAACTGCCCTAGCGTTCGATGTAGCTACTCGGCAAGCCTGACTTTTCCGCAATTACTGAAATGTCATAGGAATGAAATGAATACGAAATCTGAAGTCTCTATATATTTTGGTCTTCAAGCCAACAGAACAGCCACTTGTTGACTGACCCAACGACATCAATGTTTCAATATTAACGACGAACTGATATCGAATATATTTTAAGAGATCTTTTGACGATTGTCTAACTTAAACATGAAATCATTTTATGTTGTTACATATTATTATATTACCATGTGGTATTGGCCTACTTTTTTTTTTTTTTACTATTTAGACTCTTGTACGCTGTGTATTGTTTTTGTCTTTTTGTTATTGATTACTCTTCTTACAAGCGTTTATCACACTGTTATTTCTATTATCCTCTTAGTTCGGTATCTCGAAGAACCTTCAAGCAATACTTATATTTGAGCTACTATAGCAAGTGTGTGTTTATAATATTGACTGCTAAAAAACAGGCCATTCAAGCCAGAGGACTCAGTCAGTAGTACCCTTGTGCTCATAATATGATACCCATAATTCATGGGTGGAAAATTATTAATCTCCAATCCTTCTCAGCCTCCTAAGTGCAGTCACGCGTAGCGGTGTTCACAACCAGTCTGGCGGATCAGCTTAACTGAACTGTTCCACTGCATTTTCTATCCTTCCTTTTCCTTCAGGCCCACTGTCTTCGTGTATATCTTTAGTAGTTGAGCAAATCCCCGCACCTCCCGTTCATACATAAATACTAGAACACAGACGAGCGAACCTGCCACTCCTCGGCTCTTTTTTTAAATTGTTGATGTTTTTATGGAGGCTTACGAGTGGCAGCCTTTTATTTAGTAGCCTAGTCAAGGTACACTCGTAGAGACGAGGTTGCGCATTACGTAAAATAGCTCTAGTAATGGTTCTGGTTTTTCAGTTTACTTCTAGGAAACATCAACATTTCTAGTTGAGTACTACTCACCAAGAAGCGCTCGCCGGTATCTAACATGTGTACACGGCCACTCAGTGACAACCTGAATTTATCGGCTCTCCGATATGCCTATGTTCAGATCTCGAGGTTGACCGCATCGTATCATTTATTTATCATACGGCCATATCTAGAGTTGAGCTGGCAAAGTCGGACCCTGAGCGTGATAAGAAAGAGACATACAGAAAGAAACGAACTCGAAGCCTCGATACTATTTGGAGTGGGGTAATGTCGAATAGATACCCCTGTCTAGAGTACTAGCCGATGAGGGTAAGCAGCTTCAAAAGTGTACCGCTTAACGTTCGCTGTTGTAACAGCAGCGGAGTGACTCATAAGTAGAAGAATCACCTTTTCTCCCCGTTCAGATCTGTCCGTTAGTCGCTAATCCCAATTGGCAGCTTAGATATTGCTGGCTACTATGCAAACGTCTTTTAATCCATTTTAATTCGAGAGCAGGCTCAACACGCTCGGCTCCTACTGCGGTTCGCTGAGCACGAGATGGTTTCATGTACAGTTTGGCCGGATGCCTTATTACCTTATCCGGGAATGGCGGTGAGCGATGCTCAGGTCTCAAACAGCGGTGTCGGACTAACAAGGGCGCGACAGAAAACCAAAGTATACCAGAAAACACGGGACCAATAGTGGGATGCTTGCTACAGTCGGCAGCACTGCCTGGGGCGACGTTTGCTTTGAAGAGGGGTGGATTGGCCCCTTGCGGAAACGAAGTGCGGCATCGGTGCAGCGCCTTAAAGGCGCTGAAAAACTGGAGACTGACTTTAGTAACTTGAAAGCACTTAACCCTAAAACAGGTTCATATGTATGCGCTTGGGTGTAGGTAGAAAGCAAAAAAGTAAGTTGTTTGTTTGATAGTTATTTTTCTTTACTTACCATTGAAATCGTTTGTTTTAGAAGAATGCTAGTTTTAAAGCTCTACCATATTCAAAGGGCTAACTAGTTTTTCGACGCAGATTGCTATTATATTTCTAAATGTACATCGAGTCCAAATGCCGAAGCGTTACAATAACTTTATTTGGCTTGGTTGAGCTCGATATTATTTATTGGAAGTTATGCCCAAGACATCATCGTATTTCTGTAAAATATTTCTGATATTCACATTATTATAATAATATATTTTCTTATATTTCTTCATAAAAATTCTACTTTATGATAATAATAATAATAATGCCAACAAAGATGACTTAAGAGCGTTTAAGCTATCGGTAATTATACGCTGACGGAAATTCCCTCCCTCCGCTATTATCATTAACGGGGACCTTTCTCGACTTAGGAGCATCAAAACATTGTGAATACTGAAGCTCACTTCTTCATACAGACGCT